CACATGCGCATCTGTGGGGAGGTGCCCCATTCTATTTAATTTCACAGGTACTGATGGGGGCTTTTCTCCTTTGGCAAGGCGATTCTGTGAGGGTTTTTTTTAAAATCTGACACGGCCCAGCCTCACCCAGACTCTGCCTCCAGCAGCCCCCAGGTAATTTGAGTTTGAGACCCCTGGTTCAGAGCATCTGGTTCCTTTAGATAGATTTTAAAAGCAGGAAATTACAGCTAATATAAATTCATATTTGTGAAGAAATTCACATGTCAATATAATTATGCTTTCAGCAGATAATAACTTAAACAAAAGTTAACACAACCTATGAATTGAGATTTGGCCGGAATTGTATCTATTCCACTTGTTCAGCTTGACTTTTATTGTGTTCATGCACCATGTTACTAATGTTACTATTTTAAGAAACGGTGTGTTTTTATCTGCTCTGTGAGCATATAGAAGCTCTACTCTCCCATCCACCCCAAATTTTTCTCCACCCACATGCCTGGCTATCTGTTCTTTGTCTCTTAATATACATAAACTCTGCGTGCATAAACCTCTGGTAACTGTGCTGGATTTTAATGTGAATTAATTTACTATAATTATACACTTGGAATTATTCTCATGTTCTTAATTACTATAAAGATTTGATAACACTGGAAATTCAAATTTAGAATGACTCAGATTTTGGCTGTTGTAACCTTCTTGTAAGAAATATTATACATGTTTCCATGGAATAACATCAAGAGTTTGTGCGTTTACAAAAGGAATATATATCTGCCAACTTATGAAATGGCATTTGGAAGTAAAATGCAATCTGTTCTTACAATCCTGTTATAAACATTAAAAATAAAATGCTAAAACATGTTATCATGGAAGAAAGAGGCTAAAGAAGTGGGATCATATTTTTCAATAAATGTCTTCTATTTGGCAGGCACACATTTGCCTTGAAACAGGAGAGGCACTCCAATAATCACTACTCATTGATTAGTAAACTGTTATTTCAGATTTGGTAAATCCATGTAAAAACAAGCACCACATTCAATTAAAAGCTCTGTGACATAAAATTACCTCAACTTGCCTTCTAAGAACCGATAGGATAGCAGATATATTTCGCTATCCATAGGTGATGCTCTTTGATGGAGGACCTTCCCCAGTTACCTCCAGGAGTAGCAATACCAACTTAGAAAAGAAAGGGCCTTTTCTCTGGTGATACTCCAACTTTAGGATGTGTACCATTGAGATATATGGATATATCAACTGTTCTTTTCAGCACCAAATTTAAAAAATCTTAATTTTTTAAGTTTACGCTTCAAATGTTTCTAATTGATACATTCATGTTTGTGGTGAATAGATCCTTTTATAGCCTCTTGCTGTACTGCATTTGATTACTTCTTACTTTACACTGTTGCAGTTGGTGTTTTTCAAATGATGTTATCCACACAGTAAAGGAAAGAGAGAAGAGCACATAAAAAAGGCTTTCAAAACAGCCAAGAACATGTCCCTGTCTATACTGTGTGCACTGGAGAGCTTGGAAAAGTCCATTTCCCCCCGTCTCTTGACTCCCAAGCCTCAACCAGTGTGGGGGATTCTGGAAGATATAGTCCAAAGTGAGAGAAGACCTGTATCAAGCTCTAGTACTGTGAAAGTTCACTGGAAGCAAACCTATAGATGTTTTTTTCCAGCTATATATCCTGATTACCTGTGCCTAGTTTGCAGATGGGGGGCGTGGTGGCGCTGTGGGCTAAACCGCAGAAGCCTGTGCTGCAGGGTCAGAAGACCAAGCAGTCGTAAGATCGAATCCACGCGATGGAGTGAGCGCCTGTCGCTTGTCCCAGCTCCCGCCAACCTAGCGGTTCGAAAGCATGCAAATGCAAGTAGATAAATAGGGACCACCTCGGTGGGAAGGTAACAGCATTCCGTGTCTAAGTCGCACTGGCCATGTGACCACGGAAGATTGTCTTCGGACAAAACACTGGCTCTATGGCTTGGAAACGGGGATGAGCACCGCCCCCTAGAGTCGAACACGACTGGACAAAAATTGTCAAGGGGAACCTTTACCTTTACCTAGGTTGCAGATAGCATCAGAAGAAGGTATCTTGACAGCTAAGACAGCAGTCTCACGTTTTCCTTCTCACTCTCTCTCAACCCAAGCATGCAACCTTTGTGCGTTTTCCTGCGATACAGGTGCACCATCTCTCCAGTATTCTGTGTGTCATGCCGTTACACAGTTGTCCAGGGAAGCTATTGTTAAACTCGTATCTCATGCTCTAAAAATAGAAAACTCACCCGGCTGTGATTTTAAAAGCTGTATTACTCAGAACCCAATTATATCTCAACTCTCAATGACCCAACAGTCTAGAGATAGCTTTACTTGGAAAAATCCTGGCCTTAAGGAAGGCTCCTGGTGTGAGCATTAGTCTGTACATGAAGTAATGTGTTGCTTTGTGTCAGCCTTGTCCTGAACTTGACTTCACTACTGTCCAAGGAGTGATAAATATGTATTCAAGACAGGTCATTATAAAGTTTTTAGCCATTTCTCTCACACACCAGTTAGTTGCTCATAATCCAAAGGGTTTCCCCCTGCAAAAACATTTGCCCTCATGAAAATACATATCTCATTTCCCATAAATTACAGTACTGGGTATAAATATTCTACAGGTTGCTTGAATGCTAATATTGACCAGATGGAGGTTTTCCCCCCAAAACATTTCTGGCACAATTTAGCTTATTTAATTAACTCCTTTGCATGGTACATCCAGAACCAAAAAAATGTATAGAGCAATTTTGTTGACTGAGCCACACAATCCTTCAGGTGGATCAAATAGACCCCAGTTCAGCCTCTCTCCAGATTGAGATGCCTTGCAAAACCAAGCTACATCACAGAAATATTACTAAAAATGTACAAAGATGACTCCTTGATCAGAACAAACACTCATCTAGTCTAGCATCCTGTTTTTAATAGAGGCCAAGCAGGTGCCTATGTGAAATTTGCAACCAGAACATGAAAACTCCTAGGAATTTCATCCAGTATTCCAAGTGTTAATGGACCAATTTCAATTTCTTTCTTGAAGAGATCAAGCATGACATTCACCTTTTCCACATCTGTTTCCTACTGAGTCAGTGTTTTGATACACGGCCTAATTGGATGATGCAGTTGAAGCAGAGTAAGAAAATGTTTGTTTATCCCAGCATAAGGCATTCTCATTTCCTCATGTTGCAAATTAGCCTGCTTCATTCTGAGTGGCCATCAGTAAGTTTAAATGCAGCCTTCATTTGCAAGGCTGACCACCCAGACATGGAACTTTGATGGAATTGCATCTTTTGGAGGGAAATATGTTGTCAGCTTCTAACAGCAAACTTTGTGTCTCATACACATTGACTCTAAGCTAACCATGACATCCCCAGATCTTTTCCATGATCAATACCTAGAAGCTCTGATTCCAACTGTGTATCCATGGAGAGCACTTTTTGTTCTTTTGAATACCACTTTATATTTACCAACACTGAACTATACTTGAAATTTTAATAACATTGCCACATTTTGGAGAGATTAAAGTCTTCTTGCTATTACCATCCTGAACCATTTGGTATCATCTATAAACTATGCATCTTATTTGTTACCCCAATTCTGTATTTTTTAACAAGTTTTAAACCTGTAGCCCCAATAAAGATTGTTGAAGCAAATCTCCCTTTGTGAGAGGTGTCACACTCAAAACACCCACTCCATAATATCATCATCATCTCATCATGACACCCAACCCAGTGGTTTCCTAAACTGATAGCCATCAAAAGCCATTGTAAATATCATGCTCTAACTCCTGAAGGCCACAAAGTAAGTGACACTCTTGGATGGCCCATTCACTTCCAAACTACTCAGCCACTTAAATTTGCATTTAGAGAGAATGTTACTGTGCAGAAGTCTATGCACTGTTTTTATTTCGAAAATCTAATGCTTTTTAAAGTGGCAGTGGGTTTTTATTTGGTAGGGTTGGTAAACAAATAACATCAAGAAATGAGAGTAAGAGAGTGTCCAGATTGACAAACAACATGGGGAATGTTCAGGGTTTGGAATAGTCTGATTTGTACTATATTTTGTTGACTGCACAATGTATGAGTCAATGTGAGTCAGCCTGGAGTCGCCCCACCACCACCACCAATCCACACTTTTTCCTTCTGCCGCTGGGATTTCTGCTTGTTTTGGAAACTGAATGATTATGCATCTATTCAGGCAGTGAGTTCACTTGAGATGGTATTGAATGGGCAACAGGAAGCTGGCAACAGGAAGCTGGCTCTCCCAGCTTCCTAGTTCAAGGTGAGAAAAGGGGAAGCAAAGGGGCACTTGCAGGAAGATCAGTTCCCCTTAAATGAACATACCTTGCCTCCAGGTTATTTTTCAAAATGCTTGGTGCAAGTGCTAGTGCACAAGGGCACCAGGAGACCAAAGGGGGGAAAAAGAGTAAAGAGATGGTATAGAGCAAGGAAGAAATTGCTAATCAGCTGTTTGTTAAAATAGCTCTTTGCAGCTTGTTAAGGTAGCTCTGATGTAACCATGCCTCTTGCAAATCTGGAGGGCCACAGCAGAGCTACCTTAACAAGCTGGAAACAAGATGAATTGTCAGTTCCCTCCTCTCTCTGCTGAATCCTTTGTGGTTGGCTAAAATGAACTCACTTGGGGAAACCTGATTTCCCAAATACAAATTTACAATGGAGTCATTTTCTTTCTTTCTTTCTTTCTTTCTTTCTTTCTTTCTTTCTTTCTTTCTTTCTTTCTTTCTTTCTTTCTTTCTTTCTTTCTTTCTTTCTTTCTTTCTTTCTTTCTTTCCACAGCCTGTCTTTTGATTGAATGAAGAAGTCCTTGGCACTTTTTGAGTCCTATCATGAAATAGTACCAAAGAGGTACAAGCTAACCAGGCTGATAAGACTCCTGGATGTATCATCTCTCACAGGGGTTTATGGAACATATCACAAGTTGTTCAAGAATGATAAAATAATAATAATGTAAATCATCACATTTTTAGGCTTCATTTTATTTGACATCTTTTATGAACAAATTATGAAATATACTTCACAAATTGATTGTATTTACAGTTTCTTTACAGCAAGGCATTGTTCAGGTTTTGACTTATGACATCCTTAAAGCATTCTGTCTTTCAAAACAAAGACATCATTGTTGTTTTTCGGCATGCTCGTAATTCATTCATTCGACTCTGCATATAGCAAAGGCAAACTTTTCAAGTTTACTTTCTGTTCATGCCATTGAGCAATCCATTATTGAAATCATTTTGATTTTTACATCTGCGGGCTGCTACGTTGTTTTGTGTTGTGTTTTTTCCTTTCCCCAAAAATAATCATAAGGAAAGTCTGAGCGGAGCCTGAAAAGTCAGTTTCAAATGTCATCACAGCCATGACTAAATTATTAGACAGAAAAAAGAGAAGATATCAAAGACATGATGATTATTCTGCATTTTCAAAATATGCAATTCAGTATCTTCAAATAATGAGCGAGGGAGACCAAAGCAAACTTCTGGAAGGAGTTAGAGCTGTGCCAGAATTTGTTTTTAGCTGTGAAATTATTGCAGATAAAAGTCATCATGTTTTCAGTGCCTTCGGTTAAAGTTGTTGGCATCAACATTTCACCCCTAAAGCACATCCTGAAGCCAGCTGCATCTGAGATCACAAATTTTTCAATATGCTCTTCCATTATAAATCAAATGCGGTCCTCCATTGCACATGTTGTCTGTCATTTCCTGTAAGATTGAAAACAGTTGTTATCATTTGAAGCAACTTCTTGTCAGTTTCACATGTGGCTATTTTTTGGGTATAGAGAGATGGGCACGAACCTTGGTTTGGTGGGTTGTGCTGGTTCATATGCGCAGCACCACAGGTATCACGTGTTCCTTTCCCCTGCCTCCCTGGCTGGATCCCCCACTCACCAGTAGGTGTACACTCCTCTTCTCCTCCCCTTGGGCTGTTCAAGGTTTCATTCCCTGCCCTGCCTCTCTGCCTGATCGCCCACTCAGACAAGGAAACCTCATGCTCCTGCTGGAGACTGATTGAACAGCCAAAGAGGAGGAGGAGGACAGGAGTGCCCTCCGACTAGTCATTGGGCGGGGAGGAGGGCAAAGGAAACATTCAATACTACACCAGCATGAACCTCAGAACTGAGGATTGTGTCTATCTCTACTAGTACACATTCAAACAGTGCAGTGTCTATCGTTCCTTCCTGACCTGGATTAATGTTCCTCTCAAGGGACAATTTCCACCAAAAAAAAGTTGGTTCATGGATGAGTGGAGCTCATGCATGGGTGGATAATGTGGAAATATTCTAACTACAAGTCATGGATGACTTAGCTTGATCAACATGTAGATGGACCAACTGCATATATACACATATTATGATGCAATGTAATGAAAAGGGGGTTGCTTGAGAGCCCCAGAGGAAGATGAAGTCATGGATGACTTAGCTTGATCAACATATAGATGGACCAACTGCATATACACACATATTATGATGCAATGTAATGAAAGGGGGTTGCATGAGAGCCCCAGAGGCAGACATTGTTAAGCAACAGAATGGAAGCCTATTGTGCACAAAAACAGCAGAAGCATCTTCTCAAGTGCTGATCTTAGCTGTACCCCCATACAAGCCAATTAATTAAATAAATAAATCAGTCTCCTGTATCCCAAAAACTAATCATGAAGCTTAATTGTCTCAGATGCTTTTCTTGTTTGTTTCCTTACATTTCCAGTGTCAAACAGCTGCCTTGAACTGAACCATTTATATTCTCCTCTTTTGGGATGATGCAAGTTTCCTTGAGATTCCCACGTCCTTCATTGGAATCCCTTAAGATTCTATGGTTCCGATTACTGTCTACTTAGGGCATAGACATGAATCTACTAGTTCTTTAGTACCTTGGTTTTGATGCTGTTTGGATTTTCTTACGAGATTTCACATTTCCTTACAATAGCTATGCTTCTTTCACCCGTTGATGTTTCTGAATAGCAAATAATATGTGAGGAGAAACATATGTGATGAAGTAGGAAGCGGTACCATGCTAAATTTAGAGAGCTTTGTGGTTCCACATGTTTTGAACATCAGCTTCCAAAAACACCATCCAAAGTGACTAATAAAAAAAAATGCTGTGAGCTGTATTTCAGAACCTCTAGAGGCCCAGCAGATTCCTACCCCTGCCCTAAGCAATCTTCTCCTGCAAGTCTCCCCTATCAGTATCTTTCTAATGCCCTAAGGTATGAGCTGGCTGGATAGTTCAGTGACTTAGCCGTTTGGCTGCAGAGCCAGAATTTGGGAGTTCAGTTCCTCATTGTGCCTCCCAGGAGAACCAGCCTGTGTGGTCTTGGGCAAGCTGCACAATCCCAGGGCTCCCCCAAGAAGAAGGGAATGGTAAATCACTTCTGAGTACTATCTACCTAGAAAATGTTCACCATAAGTCAGAATTGACTTGACAGCACACAATTATTATTCAGAAAGATATGGAAGATATATTTTGATTATGAAAGAGATGGCCGTTGACATTCCTCCACCACAATCACTTTTAATACCTTGGTCTCTGCTGGGATTTCCAGATAGGGTGCCAGATAATGTCGATTGAGGTGGGGGTGGGGTGATGTAGACACCTGTCTGCTGGGAAACAGAGTGAGATGAGTAAACCCACATCCTATTAGCCATTGCTCATCCAGTGGATGTTGCTATGAAATACAATGTCATCCAGTAAATTAAACCAGAAGATCAGGGATTACCTAAATGGCTATCTTGGTTTATGTTTCCCCTTTTATTACATGAGAATCATGGAGCTTTTCTATACAAGCAAAGAACATGGAAGGTAAGTCCATAGCTAAAAATGTAGGGCTAGTGGTTTCTCCAGTCATTTTTAAGATATAGTGGCCAGAATCCTCTTGGGGATATACACCAGCATGAACTTTGACTACATAAATCACTGTGGGAAATTGCTGCTAATTAACATTAGCATTCCTGGTCACATGCCAGTCATACAACTTGGTTTATGATTAGGAATGTGAGTGATGACTCATGGATTGGGGATAATTCTCTGCCACAGTTTATGCAAGAATACTTATACTGGCAGAAATAAGATTCCAGCTCTACAGCCTACTAGGATTCCGGCTACTATTTTTGCCATGGCTTATAAACACTGTCATCATAACAAGAATCCACAGTAATGTGGAAGTCCTGATTATTCATGTATGCATTTCCTGATTATACTTTGTATCAGTCTCAGATATACGTACTGTTATATTATTTCATGTATGCATTTCCTGATTATACTTTGGATCAGTCTCAGATATACTGTTATATTACATGATCAAATTTAAGTTCTGCTGAGATTAGTGAAACAGGAAGGTTGCTATTGCACTCATACTTTACTAGCTGGCTTCTCATGGGCAAACTGGTGGGCCTCTGGGAACAAAATGCTGGACTAGATGGGACTTTGGTCTGATCCAGCACAGCTCTTCTTATGTTATGTTAGCAACATAAGAAGTAACAGATTATATAAACAAGCACCTAAGAAGCCATCTCATAGCATAACTTTCAGGGTATTTATGAATTAGATGGCAATGCATTTTTCAATTAGAAAGTACAATACAGAATTGGATAAGAAATGTGCAACTTTTGACTGCTAGTGAATAAATGTTGCAGTTCCTTCCCATTAACAACTCAGATAAATTTATTTGAATTCACATCTAATTAATTATAAACATCCAAAGCCGATTCTTTAACTAAACATTTTTTTCTCGTTAAACCACGATGAAGGTGGCAAAAGACATTTAAGGGTTGATTAAAAGAGGTGTAAGTCATCCAAAAACATGTTGGATATAAGCAAAGAGGGATAATATGTTAAGTGAAGGGCTTTGAACTCTAGCATCACACAAGGTGGAGTTTTATATTATGGCCAAATACTTCTGGATGTATTTCAAACCATCCCTCAAGATCAGTATGCATCTCATTTAGAAGCAAGAACTTTCCACAATGTATAAATTGTAGCTCCCTAAAATGAAGCATACCTTGGAGGTAACTCTGGTGTTGGGGGAACCACCGGGCAGCTGGGAAGGTCGGTTATTTCAATGCCCCTCATTCTCTAACATAAAAAGCACAAAGATATGCACATAGATTACTGTACATCAGTATCAAATATACAATGCTCTACCTGCTGTACAAATGTAGATAGTTCTGTTGGTGAACTGTTCTTGAACAGAGTGCAAGTGGGGAACTAGATGCTTCAATGTGCTCACTTGATATGAACACCTTGGGCTTTCCAAAATCACACAAGGCTTGGCTAGAAATTGCTCCCTGAGATACATGTTTTGTATGCTCCAGGAGTGCGTCTGAGGATAGAGCTGTGCATGAATTCCCTGATTCAGCTCAAAAAAGCTGATTGAGGTTTCCTAGTAGATCTCATTTCAGTCCAGAATGATTTGTGGCCTGCCTGACTGAATCAAGCTGATTGGTTAGCAATCCAGGGTTTGGTTGCAGCAACCCTACAGAGTCCTAGTGAGGACATGCATCCATACGGTCCCCTGCTTAACATCGGAGTGGTACAATCCAGCAGCACATACCTCGGATGAAGCTGCTATATACTTTCTGTCTTTACAAAATACTTAGAATGGGAAATCACTTATACCTCTTAGCACGTGTTAGCAGCTTAATAATATGTGTTTTTATTTATTATTGTTGTAAACCACCCAGAATAATGCATTGCACTAATGAGGCAGTAAGTAAGTAAGTAAACAAACAAACAAATAAACAAACAAATAAACAAACAAATAAACAAACAAATAAACAAACAAATAAACAAACAAATAAACAAACAAATAAACAAACAAATAAACAAACAAATAAACAAACAAATAAACAAACAAATAAACAAACAAATAAATAAATAAATATTTTCATGCAATGATCTGAAGAGAGACAGAGAGAGATATCTATTAATTAAGCAGCCATTCACCAATGTAGGGAGTGCTAGATTTAGTGGTAAAGCATTTTGAGAGGTTATATAATGGAGCAATGTAGATAATGGATGCATTTTCTTTAGATGGGTGCACACTGCAAAGTGCACTGCATCTCAAAATAGCTTTGTATGACAGATTGAAGTTTGAATCACACTGAAATATTTCATTTCCTCCTGGTGACTTCATAAAGATGAAAACTGAACTCTATTTCCTATTGAATATTTTGTTTGGAAGCCATCATGACAAATGGAAGTAAAACATGCCCAACTTACTTTTTCTGCCATTTCATGGGAGTGATGCAGCGAATGTTCTCTTTCTGAAAACATTCTCCTTTGCTCGTAGCTGGCTAGCCGGCAAGTGAGCCATGAAGACAAAGTGCAGCCCCCAATGCCGATGCACGCAAGAGACATGGAGGTAAGGTGCAACGGGTACAGAGTTGAGGTTTTCTTTGTCAGAGCCCGAAGGAACTGAAAATTTAATATTCCTCCAATTAGTCCACCGATACAGCAGGCTGAGAAAAGTATCATCTGGTGGGAGACAAGGGGGGAAATCACATTATCATGGGATTATCTGGTGGAAGAGAAAGATATGATGGTGTATGTGCATTTAAACTGAGAGTAAATACGACTCTGCCTTGCACTCATTTTAAACATGTTGACAGAACTCTTTGGAACAGTGTAAGACTTCACAGCCACTACTTAGATGAACTTTTCATATGTGCTGTGCTTTTTCACTATATGTAGAATACTATATTTATATATTTTTTTCAATTAAATAAATGAAAGTGAGGAACAATGACTTGCCCAAGGCCACACAAAATGGCTGATTCAAACACTAAGGTCCAACAATAATGTAGTCTTTTCCTATGATCGCATGTTAAAGTTGAAGTTTCATGGTTGGAAAAGGATTGCTCATCCGGAAACATGCTTGTGTGAAAAAGCAAGCCTTTCGCATGAGCCCCAAAGGTGATATGGCAGTCCTTTTTAAACTCCCTTCATCTTAGCCAAAAGGCTAAGAAGTGATAAGGAATTTTGACATATCAAAAGGAATTGCATAGTTGAAGGGCCTATGAGCCCAGGGAGCAGCATAGAAAAATTACTTTCTGCAGGGCAATTCCCCAAGGATTGTGGGAAATGTAGTCCAATAAGGGATATTTTCAAGCTGTTTCCCCTGAAAAATCATGGAATGGATTGCTCATCCACCATGAACATTCATCTCCAACTTTGATTGGCTCATATCACACCAGAACACCAGTCTAAGAAACCAATCCAGAACCATTCTCCTCTCAATAGAGAAGAGGAGGGGAACAATAAGAACAGATCAGAAAGGACATATTTCTTCCTTCTCTCCTGCCACTTCTGCCCATGGTGAATTCTTGTTTTGCCATTGTCACTTATGGTTGATCATGTGAATAAATGAAGAAGTTTGTCAGGGAAGCATCAGAGATGTGTTTGTGTTTTTGTTACATGCCACCAAGTTGATAACAACCTATGGTGAACCTAATAGGACTTTTGAGGTAGGTCAAATGTTCAAGGGATGGTTTACCATTGACCCTCTCCCCCAACCCTCAGTGATGTCCTTTGACCAAGCAGATATCTAAACCTAGGTCTCCTAAATCATAATCTAGCACTTTATCCACAACACCACACTAGCTCTCCGAGACTTATCAAAATACCTTAAATTGGGTTGTTTTAACAGTGGATGCAACCAGGGATGGTCTTTCTTACTGCCCGATTTGCTGCTTGATGATCTACCTGTGCGATGATGGATGGATAGAAGATAAAGGGACAAGGGAGGGAAGAAATTCTCCTCCCTGTTTTCTGTCCTAGCTATGTCTCCATTCACTTGTTACTACAACTGCTTTCTCCATCCACATACTTTCTTCTATCCTATATTATAACTACTGTGTGGAAGATGGGTACAGTCCAAGCAATTTCCACTTATTTCCACAGAAATTTGTAGCTTTAGCACGCTCACTTTCTGTGTTGAATATGTCCATTTTTTCAATCAAATTCATTAGAATTTGGAAATTACAGAAAATATATATCTAGCAGCACTTTTGAGGCCCACAGTCAGACAACAGTATGCTTTAGACCAGCCATTTTCAGGGGGAGGGCATATCCCTGGGAGGCCTAGGCATATTTGAAGTGGGGCACAGACTGGAAACACTTCTACATAAACCACCTTATAGGATTTGTTATGTGACTTTTAGAACCCTGATTTGGCCTATATTTCTTTCATACTGTGTTTATGGCTGTGGCCAAAAACGGCTGAGAATTTCCACTTATTTCCACAGAAATTTGTAGCTTTAGCACGCTCACTTTCTGTGTTGAATATGTCCATTTTTTCAATCAAATTCATTAGAATTTGGAAATTACAGAAAATATATATCTAGCAGCACTTTTGAGGCCCACAGTCAGACAACAGTATGCTTTAGACCAGCCATTTTCAGTGGGGGGGGGCATATGGCCCCTTGGGAAGCCCAGGCCCATTTGAAGTGGGGCACAGACTGGAAACAATTCTACATAAACCACCTTATAGGATTTGTTATGTGACTTTTAGAACCCTGGTTTGGCCTATATTTCTTTCATACTGTGTTTATGGCTGTGGCCAAAAACAGTTGAGAATGGCTGGCTGCTGATTCTCCATGGCTAGTGATCATACTAACTAAGAAATTCTGGGAAATGTACTCCAAGAAAAGCAAAACTCTGTGATGACAATGCTTAAATGAAAACTGAGCAATCAGCCTGATCTATTTCCTTCACTCACCTGCCTTTTGCATCTCCACCTTGGAATGGAGAAACACCTGGCAGTAAAGATTTCAACATATAAGACACATTGGTTTCTATTTCACCTACCAATATATGTAACAAGTATGAAAAAAACTTACGATAAGTCCTGATTTCTTTTTGGCACACAATATTCCGCATACCCCACAAAGCAGAAACTGTAATGAAAAGAAGAGTGTGTTTCATGGTTGATGGCCTAAAACAGTAGTTCAAATCCTACTGTGGAATTAGCAATGTAAACTGTAACACAACAATCATTATTACAATTGTGGCTATATCTGGACTATAAGGTTATTGTTTCAAGAAGCATTTCAGCCAAACCTCTGTATCCTTATAAAAGCATGGAAAGTCTGTTTCTAATTTTGTTCCCAAGGTTAACTGTAGCCTGTTCCTAATTCAAGTTGTATCTATCCCTGACCACATGCAATATTATAAATATTGTTAATACAAAGCACTTTATAGTGTTTCTCTTATTTCTTGTCAAAATAACAGAATAATGCAGTATGTGTTGCCTTCCAAGTTCAGAATTAGAAGAGGCATTCAGTAGCCATAACAATCATGAGTACAGACATAATAATATCAGAAGCTAATCTAAATGTCAATAGATAAACAAACAAACATGCATTTCAAAACCCCAGATATCCTGAACATTTTATTTCAGAAACTTAAGTTCAAAGCCTAAAACTAGAAATTCAGATGTTAATGTGAGAAGATTACAGTCCTAAATAAAATTTTCCTAAGAAAAAGTAGCATGAAACAGAAAGAACGTTATTCTAAGCAAACTTGTATAGATTTTGTTGCCAGCCTGGCTTTCTTTCATGTTTTTTTAGAAGCTGAATCAAACAAATTCAAATTTATCTTCTTTCCTCACCAATTTATCATCATAAAGTACTTGCACTGAAAGATTCATGTTGAAAGTGCATTATTTAGAACCAGAAAAATCTAATAGGGTCTCCTTCCACCCTAAATTTAAGGCTTTAGAAGTTTAAGTGAAAATTTTACTACACAGCAACTTCAAAGCAGGGTGGCTTTTCAGAATTTTATTTTCTGCTTTTTGATAATTAGTAAGCCACAAAAGACAGCCCTTTGTTCTTTCTAAGTTTTTAATTTCTCTAGTCTTGATGAAACGGGCTAAATGATTCAGCTCCATTCTCTGAGGACTAATTAAGTGTGAGTAGATAATTAAGTCCAGAAACCAGCCCATCTATTAAATCTATAGACTCAATCTAGAATATACATGATCATAGCTATACAACCATTCTCCATAATAAGTTAGCTTATGTTCAAAGCAATGTGGCAGATACAAAATGCATCTAATGTAATCATTCCTGGCCTCCTCTTTTTCTTCTGTAACTATTCCCATTATCCTTCATCTCCACAGTCTATAATGTAAGCTAGTACTATTGAGCAAGCAAACAGTGAAGAAGGGGCTGAAGGTGTTCCACTCTTTCCTAGTGTATTCAAAATATTTCTTTGTTATCTCACCTGCTCAGCCTTTTTGAGGTTAAGGAAGCCAAAGAGGAAAGCCAGGGTATTTTCAGGCCATGGCCGGAAAGACAGATGTGATTGTCTGCTAGCATGTGTGTGACTGCAAAATACAGAAAACTAGACATTTTTTTTTCCCAGCAGCCTTTGGTGCATGCTGAAATCTGTTCTCCGTGATGATAATTCAGAGTGAGACCCTCCTCTCAGGCACCAACTTAAGAGGGCAGCACTTGCCTTGGGAAAGGCCTTCCTTCCTTCCTTCCTTTACATTTTGGAAGGGGTAAAGACCATCTGCGGTGAGAGAAGGTGCTCTGGTACCCTCTTCCAGCATAGAGAGAGGCCACAGCTGTGTCTGAAAGTTGATGGAACTGTGGTATGACTGTCCACAGTGACTACCTGTCAGGGATGAAGTGAGATGGCCACTTGTCTGGTGTGCTTTAATTGTAGATTTCCTGCTTTGGTGGTGGGCTGGACTTTGAGGAAACTAGAAATCCCTTCCAACTCTATAGTTCTGTGATTCATGATGACAATATATCACTGCCACTACTGTAGCCCTAGTAAGTTGAGGGGTTCTACTGAAAACCTCTGTCACAGCAGGTTGGCCATCCTTGCAACAATGGATCTGATGGAGATTACTGAACTGAAGCTCTGTGAGGACAGGACAGAAGTACTGTTGGGTAATGGTTTATCTGTTTGTCGAAGTGGTGTTCATATTGATTTTGGTGGGTTACATTATCCCTTAAGGATCAAGATCAGAGCCCAGAAAAAGAGTTTAGACCCTGTATTAAATAATACTGGATGTGCAGCCAGCCTACAATTTGCATTGCCTTCATTACATTTTGGCTGATATGCCAGCTCCATCATTTCTTGGATACTGATGGACTGGCCACAGTTAAATTAGCATTTGTTAACTGGAACCTCAGAGTTGGCCAGATGACACCTTATTTCAGTCTTTGAAATAAGAATTTACCAGAATGGAGAAAATTTTTCATATATGAAATTCGGTGATGTAGCTAGATAAGGGAGTATGGACTGTGGGGTTTGGAGGTGGACTAATTTACTGTACTCTCATCCCTGCGATTGTTGCCTCTTTGTGAAAAAGAGCATGTCTCCAAATGATCATTTTTAAATCATGTTCTGTGCCAGTCTCCATCTTCATTGGCTCCCTAACCCCATAACCTATGTGGTATATAAACCAGTGATTAAATGTTTCATACTGTGTGTCTGAGGAAATGGATTGTGATCCACCAAAGCTCACACTGGCTTAAAATAAAATTGTCTATCTTTAAGGTGCCTGTTTTATTTGTATTAATCTTGCTGAAACAGATTAACCTCTTTGAAATCAAACAGAGGACTTTCCGCTGTAAAGTAGGACATGTGTTCCCCCCCCACCCGGATCCCACAACTGAAACCTGGCAAATGATAAAAAGAGAGTCTGAAGAGACCCAGAACCAATCTCTTCCAAGGTATGTGGGATTACAGTTCCCATCATCTCCAACATGACCAATGGTTTAGAGGAGGCACTGTTTCCTCTACTCATCCTCCTGTTGTATGTCTAACCAATGTATCTGCAGGACAGCAGATTTGGGAAAGCCGAGAGAGTATATATAATAATAATAATAATGTGCCATGAGAGCACTCAGAAGTGGTTTGTTGTTTCCTTCTTCTGGGGGCATCCTGAGACTGTTCAGCTTGCCCAAAGCCACACAGGCTGGCTCTATTCACAGGAGGCACAGTGGGAAATTGAATTTTCAACCCCTAGCTCTACAGCCAGATGCCTAAATGTCTGAGCTATCCAGCCAGCTGATAGAGTGTAAGTCTACTGTAAAAATTCTGGTGGTATTTAATTGCTATGTAAATTTTACAAGATCTAAGTGCTGAATGCATTAAAACCATCATAATCTTTTATGAACATAAATTCTGAAATGAAGTCCCTTAAACACAGTATTATAAAATCAGTGTTGATCAAATTTCTGAAGTCGTGTTGTGAGGCTCATATTGCATGAACATTTATGTGAGAGCAAAAAAAAAGGGGGGGGGAACAACGGCTGTTAAAGACACATTTAGTTTAGATGACTTTGTGAGCCCACATGGATACCTCACATAAAGATTGTGACACTCCCTCCCCCAATTTCTAGTGATTTGAATCTCACAGCCTCTAATTATCAGCAAGAAACCGAGAAAGCAAGGCGGGGGGGCAGGAGCTGTCTTTCCTCTCAGCAAGATTTCTCTGTGTAAAGTTTTTTCCCCTGTGAGAAATCTTGCAGAGAGATCTTGTGGGGTCTCCAGATGCTTTTTGGTGGTTGTTTCTTTTCAGAGGAAATGTGATGTATATACTACACAAAGGTCCCAGGAAAGGACTGAGAGTTGTCTCTTATGCAAAAGAAGAGGTGAAAAAAGCAAGGGAAAATCAATGGGGGAAACACTGGAGGTTTTGGTTTGGTTTTTTTGGGGTGGGGTGAGGAGCTGGGAAATCTTGCTGGTGCAGGGGGAGGTCTCAGTGAGGAATTTCAGCATGGCAAGATTTGGAAAACTACTGAGCACGAGAAATCTTTTGACTCATCTCCACATCCCTGCCCCCAGCTGATGGATGTTAGTTGCTTCGAAATTCTCCTGTTAAAACAGGAGAATTTAAATCAGTTGTGTGACCCCCAAAAGCAGTGCTTGGGGAGCCCCTAAGGAAGCAATTCCACACTGCTGGGTCTGTGGGTGGAATGATGCAGACATATAGGTTGTGTTAGTTGCATGGCATCGTGTCATGAACAAGTGGCTGTCACTGAATTTTCATGGGATTTCATTCAGCTAGTTTCTTTGTTATCAGAGCTGGAGTGAGAAGCAAGTAAATTCAGGGAAGAGCAAAAAAAAAAATCAAAGCAAAAATAAACCATTTGTTCCATTCATTTCATTAATGAGTCATAAGTACTCTACATGCCAATCTGCCAACAATGAATAAATGAAGCTTGTGTACTTGCTGTTACATAAACCAGGAATGGAGAATATCCAGCCAGTGGGCCTGACATTACCCCACAGGAGTTCCACATCTGGCCCACTTGCTCCCATGTTCCCCTAACCTCTGAGCACTGGTGGACATAATCATTAAATCCAACCTTTATGACATAAGAGCTTTACTCTGCTTCTACCCATGTTTAAGCAAGCCTTCATAGGTCTCAACAGAAACTATAGCCCCATTGCAGTGGTGATGAGAATTAGCAGGTATGAGGGCAGGAAGAGCAGACCCTTCTTTTGATATAACCAAATGTCTGTTCAACTACATTGGGTGATGCATGCTAGCTGTCAAGTGGCCCCATTCTATCTGCATCATGGCGCTCTTGACTCCTGGACCATCATGATGCTTAGCCTCAAAACCCACTCTCTGCTTATCCTCTTCCCTCTGGAGGTTGGACATCTTCATGGCTAGACTAATTTTGGATGGAGCAGCTCTAAATAATGATGTTATTTCTGAGTGAGGTTTCTGTGTGACTATCTTTAAAGCGCTTGGGTCCTGCAATATCTGCCCAGACCTTATTGTGGGGATGAGAAATGTACAGTCTGTGGGGCATGCATAGTCCCCCCAGGGCCCCCAGTGTGCTTCCAGCATTCATGTGCCCCCTGATCTTGGCCTCTTTTTAAAAGTTGATTTTAAAAGGCTCCTTGTATCAACTTGGGGCACAAG